CCGTCTCAAGCTCCGTCTGACACAGTGAAATGAGAAAACTCTGTACGTGATCGTAGAAACTGCCATCTAGAACCTGGATTCAAAAACAAAAAACATATAAACATATACAAATACAGTATATATATATATATATATATATATATATATATATATATATATATATATATATATGTTCAGTAAGGATGCATTAAATCAATTAAAAGTGACAGTAAAGACTTTTATAATGTTAAAAAAAAGATTTCTATTTCAAAAAATGCAGTTCTTTTGAACTTTCTACTCATCAAAGAATCCTGAAAAATTAAATGCATCATGGTTTCCACAAAAAATATTCGGCAGCACAACTGTTTTCAACATTGATAATAATCAGAAATGTGTCTCTAGCAGCAAAGCAGCATATTAGAATGATTTCTGAAGATCATGTGACACTGAAGACTGGAGGAATGATGCTGAAAATACAGCTTTGATCACAGAAATAAATTACATTTAATTATATATTACAATAAAAACCATTTACTTTAAACTGATTGTTATATTACTGTTTTACAGTATTTTTGTAAGTGTTTCGTACCCTTTTTTGTCACTCCAAGGCCCCTCCCACTCAGCTTTACCCCACGGGTTCCTGATCCGCACCAGCTCAACTGAACCGACCGTAGTCTTGATCTGAAACACACACAAAGCAAGCTCAGTCTGAAGAGCAGAGAGGTCTCTTCCAGCTGTCTGAGGTGTAGTCTGACCTCGTGGCCTTTAGAGGGCGCTGCGCGCACACAAAAACATTTCAGCTACTGCTTACATCTATACTACATACTGCTAAATATTGTGTATATAATACATAGACCTACAATGCCTCACAAAGTTTGTAATATTTAAACATTTCTGTTTCAGCAAAAAAAAAAAAAAAGAAAGACGTGGGATGTCTTATATTTTCTTGTAAAAAAAGTTAATAGTTTTCTAATTAAAGGGGTCATATGACACGATTTAAATTTTTCCTTTCTCTTTGGAGTGTTACAAGCTCTTGGTGCATAAAGAAGATCTGTAAAGTTGCAAAGACTAAAGTCTCAAATCCAAAGAGATATTCTTTATAAAATTTAAGAGTCAGCCACGCCCCCCTAAAACGGCTCGTTCTAACACGCCCCCACATGTCTACGTCACTATGTGGAAATATTAGCATAATGCCGCCCAAATGTGCACGCATAGAAAGAAGGCGTGGTTTCAGGAACAGCAGTAGTGTTGATGCAGCATGTCAGGGAGACGCGGTGTTTCAGTGCGAAAGCAAAAGCACTTTATTTGGCCTTCCGGAAGTAGATGCAATTAGGAATCATTGGTTAAGATTTATTTACAACAGAACAGCACAACCCAGATGTTCGAA